ATTCTTACAACAAGCATTTTGGGTGAATAAATCCTTATATCCCTTGTGTCCCTTATAAGCCATTAGGGTTAATTATGCTATTCTTAATATATCATTAATGATAATACATTCTTACAACAAGTATTTTTGGGTGAAGAATTTCATCTGGTAGAAGGCCTCTTTTCGTTCTATATGTTTTAAGGACATCATTTCTGTTATGAAAACGAAAAGAAATATGAAAATGAACAATGCATGTATTTTGTGCACGATCAACACCATAATTAATGATTAAAATTGTATATTAATGAATTACTAAATTAGTCTGTCACCTGTGACTTCTCAGGAAAAAACCCAGTTGCATWATTGCAAAAAGACATGCCAATAACACAGATGCAATGCTGTAGTCTGTAGATGAAAAGAAGGTAAACAGATATCAGTGCATGTTTCCTGGAAACAATAAGACAAACATTTATGTTTTCTGGTGGGTAAACTCATAGTGCTTAAGTCTAAACGTATAGTAGCTTAGAGAATAGCGTCGCGGAACAATCAGGCACAGAACATCCCTATTGCATGCAATTGTGTTTTTTCTAAATTAATTGCAACCCTAATAAGTAGGGTCGAAAGGTAGTTAAAAAGATAGCTAGGTAAGGAAGATAAACAGGAAGGTAGGTGGGTAGGATAAGCAGATAGGTAAGCAAGTTAGGTAGGATAAGCAGATAGGTAAGCAAGGTAGGTAGGTGGGTAGGCGGGTAGATGGGTGGGCGGGAAAGAGGTTTGTAGGTAGGTACGTTAGGGTTAGGATTAGGTACGTTTGTAGGTGGGTAAACTAGATTGGTAGGTGGGTAAGAAGTAGGTAGGTAGATAGGAAGGTAGGTAGGTAGGTAGATAGGAAGGTAGGTAGGTAGGTAGATAGGAAGATAGGTAGGTAGGTAGGTAGATAGGAAGGTAGGTAGGTAGCTGGGTGGGTAGGTGGGTGGGTGGGAAAGAGTTATGTAGATAGCTAGGTAAGTAGATAGATAAGTTAGGTAAGATGGTGGTGGGTATGTGGGGAGGTAGGGAGGAAGGGAGGGAGGGGGGAGGTTGATTGGTAGGAAGGTAGCCAGGCACGTAGCCGTGTTATTATTAATTATTATTATTAATTATTATTATTATTATTATTGCTGCTGCTGTATGTTGGCCATCTATATCTATTATATTCAGTATAAGTAAGCCATCAACCCTTGGAATGAAATTTACTCGAGCTACATAGGCAAGTGTATCCCTTATTCTTCTATGAGTCTGGTTACCTTGAAATAATTGTAAAGCCACCAAAGCCTCTATAAAAAGCAAACGAAACCCGATAAGCATTAAATAGACTGAATACAAACCTTTGTTATTAACAACAGCAATATTAACAAGAGCAAGCAATGAAATGTATACTATTAATATCACTATTGACGTTTAAAAATACAGTTGTCCGTCAGTGGCATAGTGAAATGATATTAATCAAGTGAAGCCACTACATTATACACTACTGCATAATCGTTTATTTGCCATAGCTTTCGATGGCCTCACTTGATTGATATCTACACATCTGTTGCTTCATCATGGTGCGCACTTTTGACTATTGCCACCTTGAAATCTGAGCGACCCAACTTGGAATGTGCACTTATTAATAAAAATGATGTTCACTTAATTGCTACGTTTACAGGAGAATAGATGCCGAGTTTACTTACCATTAGATACTCACAACTCACTGGCAAAAACGTTCAAGGTACAAGCGATTATTCGTAGGATGACATACGAAGTTACATTTCTCCAATGTCCCATGCTTTTAGCCTTTTTAATGACTAGATTTATATTTTAGAAATATATCTAGGTGGTTCTATTTGATGCCGCTCTAAATCTATTTTAAGTATACTTCTTAATCATAGGCCAAGTCTGCCTTACCGTCCAGACCAGTATTTCTTTCTAACATGGCTTTTAGAAATGGCTTTAACAATGAGATTATGACTGTTATTAGCATTAACAGTACAACTGTCACCTACATAAAAGAACAACAAAGCCAAAAGCTTTAAAAATAATTTTACGGAAAAGGAGGGAAAAAAACAACAAACAAACAAACAAACAAACAACATTTCACAATAACTTAGACCCCCTCCCGATAACAAGCACGAAATTTGCCGTTGCGCCAGAGTAGGGACTTTAAGATTTGCAAAATCTACGACGGCGACGTCAACCGAAAGTGTAAATATTTTCTCTTTGCGGTTCTGTTTATTGGAGATTTTCTTTTTAAACATTGTCAGTAAAGTAAACTCATCAAGAGGGAAGACAAAATTTGAAGGCGCGAAACCCCAAAGTGAAGTTGTGTACACTTCCGGTAGACGTCGCTGTCGCAGATTTTGCAAATCTTAAAGTCCCTAGTAAGTTTTGGTGGACGTCAATTACTGCTATTTCCATAAACATGAGAACTATGTAGTTGCGCTTTGCCTCTTGGAATTTGGTTTTTCACTGCCGGCAGTCAAATATATGAAAGGTACCTATTCACCATTTTCCATAAATTGGTTCACTGGTCAAACACTAAGCACTCAAGCGAGGCGCCAAGGTAGTTTCAATGGATTATTCAAATTTGAACCTTGCAGCCTCGGTTGAATGCTTTGTATTTGACCAGTGAACCGATGTATGGAAAATGGTGAATACTACGGATTAGTTTGGAGCTTTAAAATATAACATTTACAAGATGCTTATCTTGTGCTTCGTTTGTTAAAATTAAATACTTTATACTCCGGTCAATTTAAATAACTATTGTTCTACACAGACTAGCGAGTGATTAGCCTCGTGTTCACGTGGAAACGTTAAATGCGTTTTCACATGTATGAGAGGCTAGTCAGTCGTTAGTCAATGCAGAACAATAGCTATTCAAATTGGTGGTCATATTTTAATTCAGTGTATACTGGTTAGATGAAGTTGAATCAAATGCACACACCTGGTAAACAAATATACAGGACACAACGAAAGATGACAGGAACTGAGTGGAGAACTTGAAGTCTGAAAATCAATCAATTAACGAGTTGGTCGATCGATCAATTAACCAGTAGGTCGATCAGTCCGTTAGTCCGTCAGTTGGTCAGTCAGTCAGTCCGTCCGTCCGTCCGTCCGTCAGTCAGTCAGTCAGTCAGTCAGTCAGTCAGTCAGTCAGTCAGTCAGTCAGTCAGTCAGTCAGTCAGTGAGTTAGTCAGTCAGTCATTCAGTGAGTGAGTGAGTCAGTTCAGTCAGTCAGTCAGCCAGCCAGCAAGTGTTACCTTACCTGGGCGTGCGACGTATATCCAGTTCTTCAGTAGATTATACCAGGTGCCATTTTGGTTAGGTGGTCTATAACAGATAAATGAATACATGACTAAGTTGTTGATATTTAACAAATAGATATCAGTTTTTTATGTGTCTGTCCTCTAATTGACGATAAATTGCGTTATCACATTGTCAAAGTAGTGTGGATCCACGAGGCGTCGCCTCGTGGATCCGCATACTACTTTGACAATGAGATGACGAAATTTATCGTCAATAAGAGGACAGACACATAAAAAACTGATGTCGATTTTTTTTGTTTTTTTGTTTTTTGTTTTGTTTTGTTTGGTTTTGTTTTGTTTTTGCAATCACAAAAACGATAAAAACTTCTCATTTTTAGTGATCAAAACAACCAACGGAAAGAGCGCGCGCTCGTTGACATCAGCTTTATCTGTCTGTCCTCTTATTGATGATAAAAAATAACCAATCAGCGCGCGAAAGATTTGTAAGTTATTGTAAAAAACCACATCTCTAGGGACATACCTTTTCCCTGCCTGATGTAGTTGATTAGAGAACAGAAGGTTAACATGAGCTCTCTCTGTTTTGCCGGCCAGGGTAATGGTTGTCGCTTCTTCTTTCTAAAAGAGTTGTTATCGTACGTTAGACTGAGGTACTTCAAATGAGCCGAACCTAATGACTCAAATTAATTAGCTAAAAGAGGCTTTGCACTATCACTTGATGGCAGCCACGAAGGGAGGCACAACAATGGAAACTGAATCCTGTGAAACTGAATTCTCTCTCTTGTTAATCAGACTAGACCAGATTCATTTGTTTCTGCCCCATGTCATTGCTTTCATCACGTGATGGTGCGAAGTCTCTATTAGCATTTCAGACCACGTTCTATTATGGTCCCGAATTTTATTTAATCTATACTAATAGTATAATAATTTCCATATATATACATATAGCCATTTGCAAAAATTATGGCCGCTTCCAATATATATATACAGGGATATCAAAAGCATATCAAAAATTATGGGATATTACCCCTGATATTTTTTCGTATCGTCTATCACTAAAAATATCAAGAAAGAAATCCCGCCGTGTCTGATATACTTTTGATATACTTGTATGTATATTTGAAACGGCCATAAATTTTGCATGGCTGTATATATAGAGGATATTACATGGGCGCGCGGAGATACGAATTTTATCTTCGAGTGTTCAATTGATATCTCACGAGTGAGCGCAGCGAGCGGCCATGTAATGTTCTTATATAGATATCGATGAAACTTAAATAAAACAAAAGCTCAAAAATTCTCTATTAAAATAGCAAGCCGATTCAACAGCGATATCTTCACGTTTAAAGGATATGGTATCTAGCTTCCACTGGTGAAAGATATCAAGTTTTCGACACTAGAGAAAACCTGGTATTTCATCGATATCTATATGATAAATATTTATACATATATATGTATGCATGTATTATATAAATGTCTATGGAACCAAATATAATGTATGGGCTGGTCACAGGTTCTTGAGGAGCTCAAATCGTACGTAGAAGGAACTTCAGATGGACAAAGAAAAGCCACTGTTGCCTCCCCAATTCGAGCCCCACCAACAACCTCCACAACATATAATTTACATTTCTTTAAAACCTATGTTAACCTACTCTTACGCACATATCGAAGACTTGGGAGGCCCTGAACACGAAGTTTCTTGATTTCCTTATACAACAGTACGGAGTAGCTTCCAACGAGAAATAATGTGCAGACAACCACAGGTATATTGGTCAAGATTCCCCCATACATTATGTACTCGATGTTCTGTAAAAAAATTATCAAAGTAGCATTTACTGAATATTTCTTATTATACTTATGCTGTATACAACCTCTAATAGTGCAGTTTTCGTATGACTGTGAAAAGCTCAGTGCCGTGCCGTGACCGTGATGTTTTCTAGAATTTTAATTGGCTTATATTTTTATCGCGCAATGTGATTGGTCTGAAAGTGCCGTGACTTTGGCGTGACTGTGTCCGCGCCGTGTTTATGCCGTGTTCCAGGTATTTCATTGGATGGAGAGTAAATTCTCGTGCAATGTGATTTGTCTGGCGTATCCCTTGCTGTGTCACGACCGTGTTCGTGCCGTGAACTTTTCACAGTCATACGAAAACTGCTGTATTCACAATAATTACTACGATTCAAACACGTAAAAGCATGAAAATAGCAAGAAATATCCTGATGAGGATCACCTATTTCATTTATACCATCCAGTAGCAAAGTCATTGACAAAAATATATTTGATCATACATAATGGAGCCGAATGGTTTGGAAACTCCATAGAAACAAAGCTATTGTTTTGCGTTTGAGGTTGAACCGTCCCATCATGTGATACTGATTGTGCACAATAAACCAAAGCAAGTATGGCTAAAAATACTCACTTCCTTATTATTTTCATTAGTTCATTTTGCCAGTGAAAACTTTTATTGCATGACCAAAAACTATGCGGATAAATATTTTCGCGCAAATACAGTTAAGTTACTAGATGTTAAGTAAGAAAGCATAAAAAAGGCCATCTCATTTTTAATAAACAATTAATCTTAATTAAATATGATTAATTAACCAAATAATAACTAACAAAATAATAAAATATCTTTAGAGGTTTTTTTAAGGAAAGAAACTCCTGTATTACCGAATGCCATGAAAAACGGAGCAACTTTTCCTTTGTGCACGGTCAACGGGATATAACAGTGGTTAAAGTCGAACAAAAACATAGAACAATAGGTTTCCCAACCATTCCGCTCCATTAACTATAAATGAATACTATTTCTTTATAGAATACTAGTCAACTACAATGCACTACGTGCCCATCGTTCGCTTAAATCGTTTGTTTTCGAAGCTATTCCAAGCTCTGATGTAGGAAAAATTTTTTGAAATGCGCTATGCCATTCCCCAAGGTTTTCTTCATTTCATTTCACAGCAATTACTGAGCTAGGTTGAATTTCAGAGAGATTCTCTTTGTGACATACTGACTTTTCTGTCGTAAAGTGGTAGCCATCGAAACTTTCTAAATTTATATCTTAGATTCATTGCCAAGATTTACAAATCTCAAGGAAATCATAATAATATGTCAATATATGATAGTCAACTAGCAGGAATAAAGAGATCAATGGAACTGGATTCCAAAACTTCAATTTCAACCTTTATTATATTATTATATATAAGTTATATTTTATTATAAATAATGATCTATTATCAAAAATATATTTTGTCTTCGATCAGTAAAACAAAAATATGTTGTGTGAAAAAAACGTTTGTCAGAACTTTTATGTGGATAACTGTTTTTCGATGATGACAAGGTTTTCTAACATCGTCATCGTCATCGTCATCGTCTATCGTCTATCGTCTATCGTCATCGTCATCGTCATCGTCATCGTCATCGTCATCGTCATCGTCATCGTCATCGTCATCGTCATCGTCATCGTCATCGTCATCGTCATCGNTCATCGTCATCGTCATCGTCATCGTCATCGTCATCGTCATCGTCATCGTCATCGTCATCGTCATCGTCATCGTCATCGTCATCGTCATCGTCATCTCTATTTCTACAACTTTGTGACAATTTGTTGGGTTATATTATTGAAGTACGTACCGCATTTTTTAGGTGCTGTCCACTTTCTTTATCGGGAGTGCAGCCAAAGTAAAGAAACAAATCTACTATAAATCTTGAGAAATAAAGAAGCAAAGGAAATCAGAAAAGCTAGCATTTTCGTGAAACTTCCTCGGCAACAAGTTTTGCTAGCTTTAAAGGCCAATGCAGAGTGCATTTCTTAACGCAGTTTCACAATAGTTTAAAAGTTTCATTTGATAAATTAATATTAATAGTGACTGACATATCACTTACCTTACAAACGAGTAAATCAGCCCCATTGCGTATCCAATGATCTTGTATTCAGCATTAAGACAAGCGAGGTATGGATAGTTGATGATGCCATATACCAGGGTCATTAGTATTCCCTGAAAAGCTAAAGCACAACAATCGATTAAATGCAATGCAACAAAGAAAGGAAGAACACACAAATTGCGTAACATTTTGATAAACTTGCAAAAAAAGTACATAGCTGTTATTATACGACCCACCCAATTTCACGCGTATTACGACCATTTATCGAGTCCAATTACAGAGCGATAATACACGGTCTGTGAACCGATTTTGAATGTGTTTTTTTTTTGCTGATGTTTTCTCCTATTCCCTTGTGCGGGTCACGTCAGTGTTTTGAGCTCGTGATTTTCGAGTTTGCTTGTTTAAATAAAAATGGTTGTTTTTCAGCCACTCTTTCTCGTTTTTTTCCGTGCCGCCAAAGAAACAATTTATTACACTGCTATAGTTGAGTATTACAGCCAGGTAATTTTACTCGTGAAGCTGTATTTTTGTATATGTAAATTATCCAGCTGTAATACACAACTAGCAGTGTAATAACGTCTATTTTATATTTCAATCAATGCCTTGTTACGCCCTGTACAATTTCAGATGTTCCTGGCATGCAATAAAATTCTATCAGCCTTTTAAGGGACTCTTACACTGTTAGTAAATCTATGATTTTTCCTTGGACTGGACTTAATTGAAATTCCGGCCTGATGTTGCAAATGACAGAAAGACAGACAAATCGAAGTTTGTTAATTCACATTAGCGTGGAATTTCTATTTTTGGTCTGGTTCCTCCCAGTTGAAGGCTAATGTTCTGGATTTGTGTTTTCAGTTGCCATTAGATCTTAGCACAATAACGATCACACAAATCCAATCAGTTTATGAGTATGATGTACCTTTTGACCAAGCGGATCCTTGGAGGTCCTTTGAAGCAGCAGATGCACCGAAAAACATGTTAAAGGAAGAAGCGGCAGTTGCGCCAAAGGCAAATGGTATGATGAATCTGTTCCTTTCATCGCCTAGAAAATCCACAGGGCTGTAGAACACGAACAAAAAGAACAAGTATTAAGTAAAATGAGACAAAACTAGTCTTAGTGTGCAAGATGAAAGCATGAAGATGCCAGCCATTACTTCTCACATATATTAGAACGAGGAGGTGGAGGTGGAGGTGGAGGTGGAGGTGGAGGTGGAGGTGGAGGTGGAGGTGGAGGTGGAGGTG